GAGAAGTGCCCTGTGGACAATGCCAAGCTGACAGTGGTGGTGAACAACATTGCAGTAGCTGAGCAGATTGGAGAGCTCTTCATACATTGTCGGCATGGTTGCCATGCAGCAGGCTCTGGAAAGCCTGGTGTCTTTGAGGTAGACCCAAGGGGCTGCCCCTTCACCATCAAGCTTAGTGCCCGCAAGTGAGTACCTCCTGATTCTCCATCTCCCTGGGGTCACTGAGCATGTTTACTGTCTGAGGCTACACTGTGGATGCTCTCAGCTCAGGCCTATGTCCTGCATATGCACAGGGACCACGAGAACAGCTGTGACTACAGGCCTGTGCGCTGCCCCAACAACCCCAGCTGTCCTCCCCTTCTCAAGATGAATCTAGAGGCCCACCTGAAAGAATGCGAGCACATCAAGTGTCCCCACTCTAAGTACGGGTGAGTGGGCGGGGGTGGGCTGTGGGCTGGTGGGTTTGAGTTCATTAGCTGAAGGCTTCTGGGAGCTGGTGCCTGGGAGATGGACCAGAGCTGGGAGCCACACTAATGACTGCCATCACAGCCCACATATCCAGTGCCCAGGAGAACACAGGACTGAACAGGTTGGAAGTGGGGTATCAGGGAAGGTGGGTAAAAGGGCATAGACTTAAACAAATGGCTGAAATGGGAATGGAGGGGAGGCAGGGGCAGAAGGAAAGAAGAATTATGCCTAGCTGTTCAGAGCAGGGAGGCTGTTGATGGACAGAAGTTTTGTTCTCAGGGAGGGAGGGATCCTTGAGGCATGATAAGATTTTGTTGGCGAGGGGTTGAAGAGATGACTCATAGGTAAGAACTCTAGCTGGTTCTTCCAGAGGTCCTGAGTTCGGTTCCCTCACAACTGAGACCTAATGTTTTTTTCTAGCCTGCAGGGATACATGCATACAGAACACTGTATGCATAATAAATAAATAAATCTGGATCCGGGGGTATTGGGTATGGCCGTGATGACTTGAGGGATTTAATTAGGTTAGGGACGCTAAGGGTCAGTGTTGCCAGAAAGGCAGGTGGGCAACTGTCCTATTCCCCCAGGTGCACGTTTATCGGGAATCAGGACACATATGAGACACACTTGGAAACATGCCGCTTTGAGGGCCTGAAGGAATTCCTGCAGCAGACTGATGACCGCTTTCATGAGATGCATGTGGCACTGGCCCAGAAAGACCAGGAGATTGCCTTCTTGCGCTCCATGCTGGGCAAGCTCTCAGAGAAGATTGACCAGCTGGAGAAGAGCCTTGAGCTCAAGTTTGGTAAGATCTAGTCCAGAAAACATGGGGTTCAGCACTTCTCTGGACCCCAGTAATACCTTTCTTGTTTCTCAGATGTCCTGGATGAGAACCAGAGCAAGCTCAGTGAGGACCTCATGGAGTTCCGGAGGGATGCATCCATGTTGAATGTGAGTATGTGAGGGTTGCAGCAGCGAGACACAGGAGGATAGATTGGGGTCCCTCCTCTTGCCTTTGCCCCTAGTGCTCAGGGTTTAAGGGTCTGTGTCCAGTAAGAACTGACCCTATGCTTGGGGCTCCATAGTGTCACCAGAGGTTGTGTCCATTCCACCCAGCCAATCTCTGCTCTGTTCTTGGCCTTGCAGGATGAGCTTTCTCACATCAATGCACGCCTGAACATGGGTATCCTTGGATGTGAGTATAGCCCAGTGCTGCTAACATTGTCCCCAGAGCCCTACCAGTCCCTCATTAACATCTACTGTTTGCAGCCTATGACCCTCAGCAGATCTTCAAGTGCAAAGGGACCTTTGTGGGCCACCAGGGCCCTGTCTGGTGTCTCTGTGTCTATTCTATGGGTGACCTGCTCTTCAGTGGCTCTTCTGACAAGACGATCAAGGTCAGTGGGGTCCTGGTCCACAGGTTCTGCAGCATGGCTGGGTTCAGGTGGGCACTGCATGCCACCCTCTGCTGCCTCCTATCCATGGTTGGGTCTTCTCCCTTAATGGGTGTTATCTTGTCATTTTGGCACCGGACTGACCTGACCTTGTGGGGACCTGGTCTGGCCTGATCTCTGCAGGTGTGGGACACATGTACCACTTACAAGTGCCAAAAGACACTGGAGGGCCATGATGGTATTGTGCTGGCACTCTGCATCCAGGGGTGAGTCTTGATGTTATACCCACTGACCACAGGGCCAGGGCCAGGATGTGCTGTACTGACACCCTCCTATGGGCCCTGGGCCTGTATGAGCCTGTGTAGTTTATGTCTGTTCCATCCATGGAACACTCACACCTGAGCAATACTGGGTTCCTATGTGACAATCTGTGAGCTCCCAGCAGAGCATATCCTTGCCCTAGTATATCAGGGGGCTAGAAGCTAGAGGTGGCACTCTTAGAGGGTAGGACAGCTCAACTGTCACCAGGATGGCAAGTACCTTGGGCTTAACTCTGGTTGTAGTTCATGTGGCAGCTGCCATGCTCTCAATAGGCTCTTCCCAAGCCTGGCCCTCCTTTCTCATGTTGTGTTGGGCTGTGTGTAGTCATGCTAGGTATTGACAGCAAGGGCCTTGCTCAACTTACTGGTGGTGTTAACCCCCTTGGGACTTGGTATTCAGGATAGTGACCTCCCCGTTTGCTCAGCTCAGCCATCAAATGTTTCCCAGACTGGTTGTTCACATCCAACTATGCAAACTGAGAATGGGCTCAGCAGTGGGGAAAAGCCATGCCCCTGGGACCAAGTCAAGTTGGTTCTTGGGGCAGCCAGGGTATGGTGTGGTAGCTTCTGCTGCCATATATTGACTTTGCTTCCCCAGGTGCAAACTATACAGTGGTTCTGCAGACTGCACCATCATTGTGAGTGGAGCACAGGATGAGGGGTGAGGGGCAGAGAAAGCCCAGTGTTCTTTCCTTCCTCACTAGCCCTGAGTCCTGGGGTTTACTGTCATCCCCTACAGGTGTGGGATATCCAGAACCTGCAGAAGGTAAACACCATCCGGGCCCACGACAACCCTGTGTGCACACTGGTATCCTCCCATAACATGCTCTTCAGTGGCTCTCTGAAGGCCATCAAGGTATGGGCAAGGAGTGCACATGTATGTGGGGGTCCCTGGGCAGTGGATGCCTTGCTAGCCCAGGCTCATGTTCATCCCTACAGGTTTGGGACATCGTGGGCACTGAGCTAAAGTTGAAGAAGGAGCTCACAGGCCTCAACCACTGGGTGCGGGCCCTGGTGGCAGCACAGAGCTATCTGTACAGTGGCTCTTACCAGACAATCAAGGTGTGCCCTCTGCTGCATTTCTTAGGGTGTTCTGGAGCTCCTTCTGCCCTTTTCCTACCCTCCTACATATTTTGAGGCTATCTCCTGAATCCTAGAGGATTAAGTGACATACTTTTCCCTAGATATGGGACATTCGGACTCTCGACTGCATCCATGTCCTGCAGACATCTGGTGGCAGTGTTTATTCCATTGCTGTGACAAATCACCACATTGTCTGTGGCACCTATGAGAACCTCATTCATGTAAGAGCTAGGCAACCCTGTAGCAGGCCTCCATCTCTCCTGCCCTTGTTTTGGGTCCCGATCTCTAACTTACTTGGGCCTGCCCCCTTTCAGGTATGGGACATTGAGTCCAAAGAGCAGGTGCGGACCCTAACGGGCCATGTGGGCACAGTATATGCCCTGGCAGTCATTTCAACACCAGACCAGACCAAAGTCTTCAGTGCATCCTATGATCGGTCCCTCAGGGTATGTGCTGCCAGGAACAGGAGGACGAGGCCTAGAAGTGGCTGGGCCAGGGTATGCCCTCATAGCTCACATGTCGCCCTTCCCCAGGTCTGGAGTATGGACAACATGATCTGCACACAGACGCTGCTGCGCCATCAGGGCAGTGTAACTGCACTGGCCGTCTCCCGGGGCCGGCTCTTCTCAGGGGCTGTGGATAGTACCGTGAAGGTTAGTGCTTGTGGCTCAGGCTGATGACAGGGGTTGCATGAGATGGAGCTTTGAGCACGGATGAGGGGCAACAGTAGAGGGTTGAGAGACCAGCTTGAAGGGGATCCTTGTGCCACAGGGGATCTGAAACAGAACCCTTTCTTTGCAGGTTTGGACATGCTAACAAAATCCAGACCAAGCTTTGACTCCCTTTGGGTCTGTCAGTCAGGCTGGTCCTACATGATGGCCTTGGAATTTCTGCCTGTCTTGTGGAGACAGACAGACAGGCTCAAACAGCTAGGCAGTGTCATTTCTGCCCTATGCTTGGTGAGGGATCTTTCTTTAGGCCCCGCTCTTAACTTCTACCAGAGAAATGCCCAGGCTCTTCTCTGGGCGCCAGGTACGATGCTTGCCCGGCCCACCATTCATTTCACTCCATAGATTGTTGTTTTGAGACAGGGTCTCACTATGTAGCTCTGGCTGTCCTGGAACTCACTATATCGAACAGGCTAGCCTGGAATTCACAGATTCACCTGCCTCCACCTCCCACGTGCTAGGATTAAAGGCGTGTGCCACCACTCCTGGCAGGACCCAGATGGACTGTGGGTCTTTTTACTCACCTTTTCTACTGGTTTTAGACTGTATATAGATTTTATTACTTCCCTGTTGAAATAAAAGCTTCACAGACTGCTTGTGAGTGGAGATAGCTTTTGAGACCTTGATTCACATGGCCTTAAGCACAAGATGGGAGGGAGGAAGGGAGGTTGGGTGGACTTTTCTTCCCTGCAGAGGCAATTGTCAATCCTTGGCCCCCAGCTTCCAGTCTTCAAGCTTTGCTTTCCCCACCACACATGTCCCCAAAGAGTGAGCCAGGCAGCTCTGTTTTCTGCTGTTTATTGACAGCTGACAGCAGCTCCCTGTCCAGACCCACCCTCCCCACTTCCTAGAGCCCTAGCCTGGGCCACCTATACAGAGGCTGATAAATGGCCAGTGTATTCACTGATAAGGAAGTGCCAGGAATGACAGTTGGAAGGGGCCCTGTGCCCACACTACCTTAGTTGGCCCCCTCCACCAGCCTACACCACAGTTACAGTTTTGGCAAGTTATTTTTTTTGTTCTTTTTTTTTTTTTAAAGAAATGTCAATGTTATGCCCAACACTTGTGGATCAGCAAACACGAAAGAGGAGACCAGTCAGTATTTTTGTAGGGAGGAAAAGAGGGTGAGAATTACTACACAATACAGCCTCAGACCATGAGCAGAGCTGTCCATGGAAATTCAAGATGGATAGGTTGGCTGCCTGTACAAGGCTGCCTTGGGGGGAGCGGGGGGGGGGGGCAGACACAACCTTGAATACACATCTGCCCATAGTATGGCATGCATGCCCTTGTACTCATGCCCACGTTCACACAGGGTCCACACTGGGTGCACCCTCACACTGGCACCCCAAGGGCATGGTCACATCCAGAAGGAAGAAGCCCTCCCCAAGGTGTATGGGGCATGGAGAGGAACAGGTAAGAGCAAGGCACATCCTTCAAGTTCTTCAGACTCTCAGAAGCTAGAAGAGTGGAGGAGAGGCTCTGGGCAGAGCCGCCCCTCCAGACTGTGCCTCCCAGTTGTGTGTGCTCGTGACCAAGGGCAAGGCCATTCCTAGATGAAAGAAGAGAAGGGCAGACAGGTGGCCTCAGCTCCTGACAACTGTAGTCTCAGGCCGGACATGTGTCCTTTCTGTTGGTAAATGGTTTCTATAGAATCAATAATATTTCTTCTCTTTAAATATATATTTGTTAAAGTTATCTTTTTGTTTCTCTGGGGAAATCTGCCTCAGCTCATTCCCAATAAATTAATACTCTTGATAGCTTATATTCTGGGGTGCAGTGGGGCAAGCCCAACCTTGGCCCCCTGTCCCTTGTGCTGTGCCAGAGCGGCTGGCAGAGGTTCCCCAATGGGCAGTTCTGTGCTGGGCATAGGCCTGTGCTCTGCCACAGATTGGGGAGAGGGCCACAGTGGCCACCCCCCTCATCTTCCCTCGGTGCTCAGTCTGCCTAGGGCAAGGGAGGAACAGCCTTCCGCAAGCAGAGCAAAGCCTGCAAGTGTAGGGCCCAGCAGTTGTTGCACAGGGAGCAGCAGACAGGAATGGGCACCAGCGGGCAGCACATCTGCCCAGAGCCCTTGGAGCGTCCCCCACCCCTGTGCCAGGAAACTGACAACCGGCCTGGGCCAGGAGTGGGAGTTGTGCTTGTGCAGAGCGGGGGGGGGGGGGGGGGCATGCCCCGCCCACTCGGCCCCCGCCCACCACTCGGAGGTGCCCATCCTGAGGTAAAGGTCAAAGTGCGGGCCAGAGCTGGGAGTACGGTGGGCCCTTGTGGGTGGCCGCCTCACTCCAGCATGGCGTCCAGCTGGTCGGCCAGGTCGTCGAACATGCTGCCGATGTCTTCCAGGATGCTGCCAGTGCTCTTCTCCTCGATGGAGGAGGGGCTAAGGGTGGGCATGCATCAGTGGGGTGGGGCAGCACAGGCCTCCTTCCTCTAGGCTAGGTGGCTCCACAGCAACCCACTCTTAAACCCCGGCTGGATGGCTCCGCCTATCCCTACCAATCCACCCACAAGAGCCACGCCCTGTGCTGGACCACAATGACCCCACCAGACCCCAGGTACCTACCGAGGGCCTTGCCCGTCTTCCTGCCGGATCTTCTCCTCCACTGCCTGCAATGCTGCAGCCAAACACGCACTAGTCTCCTCCAGCTTCTGCCGAGCGCTGTCCCCGGGAGAAGCACAGTCTGGAGCTACTTGGGGTCCGGAGGCCACTGAAGCAGCAGCGCGAGGGGGCTTGGCGGGTACGTGCAGCGCGGGTGGCCCTGGGGAAGGGGGCTTGGCGGGGCTGGCACTCTGCGAGGGCGGTGAGCTAGACGGCTTGACAAGGGCTGCTGACGGCTGGCGTGCCGGCGAGGGCACAGGTGAGGTGGTGGTGCTGCTGGACTGTAGTCCCGCCACAGCCTTAGCTGGCTTGGGTGCTGTGGGTGGTGGAGGAGGCTTGGGTGACACAGGCGGTGGCGTGCCATGAGCGCGCTTTACCTCTGCAGGGAAGAGGACAATGCTGGCTTCCATAGAATAAAAACATTGAGTTCCCTCCATGTAGCAGGAGAGATGCTGTACCCGAGCCTATTCTCATGGCAGCTGCTAGGATATACAATTCCCTAGCATGCCATGCTTCCTAAACTTGAGATGTGGCCTGATGCATCCAGCCCCAATGGCCGTCTCGGCACCTTTGCACTGCTGTCCTCGGTGGAAAGCTACCCTCTCCTGTATCTGGGAACTCCAGCTAGGTCTTCCTGCATCTGTGCCACTACTCTTGGTCTTCTGCACCTCGTTCACTGAACAACAGGCATGGCCACTATAGGATGGCAGAGTTGTCCCACAGTGGATAGATAAGGAGATCTGTAGACAGTCTTATCCCATACCACCTGGGCTTCATCAAACCCAGAAAGGGAAATCAGACTATGAGATAGGGTAGCAGGCAAGGGGTCTGTGCTGAGATCCTGTGTTTTCTTAGCTGGCTCTCTGTACCTACCTGGGCTGCCAGGGCCTGGCAGTGGCACCTTCTTGGAGGCAGGTGTAGGTGAGCCCTGGATCTTAGTCACAGGCTGAGCCAGGATGGGCTTGGGAGAGACAGGTGGCTTCACAGGCTTCCGGGCATTGCCATCAGGCAGAGGCAGTGGAGGCAGCTGCATGAGGTCAGCAGGTGGGGGCTCAGCAGGTGGAGGAGGAGGGGGCAGCTCTGGGGGCCCAGCCTGCTCTGAGGCTGGCCGTCGACGAACAGTGGCTGTGCCATTCTGATACACAGACAGTGGTGGATGTGCTTCGGGCCCAGTGTCACGATCTTTAGCCTTAGGCCTGCGCTTGACCGTGTCAGACTCAGTCAGGATGAACTTGACATTCTCTTGCTGGCTCTGTTTTGCCCGGATGCGCCTCTTGAGTGTGGCACTGGCCTCTACCCGGGCAAGGGGAGGGCCCTCCACACTTGCCTCCCCCTTGGCTGGACCTCGAGGCCTTTGTCGGGCTGTGCCATCCTCCATAAAATGACTCTGCTCAGCTGGTTCCCCAGGGCTCCGGCGAGCAGTGGCCAGAAGTCCAGTGACTGGGCCACTGAGGGTGCGGCGCCGGTTCACTACTTCACCGTCGGGCCCAATGGCCTCTTTGTGCTTCACAGAGGCCAACACAGTAGCTACCCGACCAGGTTCTGGACTGGCAGGCCGAGGGGTGGGGTGGCCTTCTGGGGGCCTGCGGATAGCCCGGCCCCCGCCCCCAATGGAAGACAGCTCCAACATGGCTGCAATGCTCTTCACACTGCCAGCACTGCCTGTGTCCACACTGCCTGTCAGATCACTAGCCCGCCGGCGCTGTGCCCGGACTCCCAGCCGGCCATCCTCTGTCTCAGCATCTGGAGCTGGCTCATCAGCTAAGTTGGCACTGGCCATGGCTGAGCTGGAGCGCTTGGGTGGAGGTGGTGGGGGCCCCTTCTTCCGTGGCCGCACAGCAAAGGACTGACTGCGGTTAACATTCTTGTCAGTGCCAGCGGGAGCCCTCACTGAATGGCTCCTACCCACGCGCCGCTGGACTGTGGCATAGGGTCCAGCAGCAGCAGGCACCAGCAGCTCATCCCGCTCCGGCTCACTGTCAGACGCTGCATAGCGATTCAGGCTGTGGGCACGTTTCTTGGGTCTCCCGGGCTCCACATCAGCTTCTGGGGGCAGGCATAGTGTGGGCACAGCTGCTGGTGCCGGTGGGAGTGCAGGTCCTGGAGCAGCTGGCCCTGTGTCACCCTCAACTGGCTGGGGCAGCACGTAGGCAAAGCCACGGTGTGTGGGTGACTGAGGCAGGGAACGGGGTGACATGGGTCGGTCTGTTGGCGGCAGGAGCTGTGGGGTGGGCTTCACCTTGGCTGTGGCGGGACCATGAGGTCCTCCAAGAGTCTGAGGGGAACCTGGCTGAGCTTTGGTGGGTGTCTGTGGGGGTGTGAAGTGGCTGGCCCCTGATGGAAGGACCTGCCGTGGCTTGCCAGGCACAGGAGGCACACTGGCCCTCTTGACACTGTGGCCATGGCGGCCAGACCGCACCTCCTTGGGTGGTGTGCCAGGAGCTGGCCCCTCATCCAGCAGGTACTCCTGACTTCGTGACATAGGGCTGCCAGGCCCTTGGGGACCGTCACCGAGCAGCTCCTGAGAGCTGCTCATGTGCCGAGCCCGTCCACCCAGGCTGGACTCCTGTCGCAAGGTGGTCCTCGGAGTGGGTGGCAGGTGGTTGGAGGGCTTCTCAGCAGCAGCTGCACCTGCTTCGGCTGGGCCAGACAGGGCAGCCTGCAGCTCACCACTGAGTTCACTGTCCTGGAAGGTGCTCATCTTAGGAGATTGGCAGTCTGCTGCAGCAGGCTCAGATGGGGGTGGTGACTCAATAGCAATCATTTCAAGTGACTGGGGTGCCTTTCGGTGCAGGGGTCCCCCCTCATACTTGGAATATTCTGCTTTTTGCAGCTCCGCCAATTTCCTCACAGCCAGCATCAGCTTCTTTTGGTGTCCTGAGTCAGGGATGGGGAAGAGGCTGGTCAGGAGGACCTGAAGGTACAGGCAGATATGGAGGGACAGGCTGGGACCTTACCCAGCTTGGTGATGCCAATCTCCTGAAGGTCCTCCCAAGTGATATCAGTGATGAAATCGATGTTCTCATAGCCGTTGTCTACCAGCACCTTATAATACTGGGCCAGACCGATCATGGACAGCCACACAGCCAGGTTAGCCTATGGAGAGGGGGACAGAGAGGGGCAGCCCAAGCCAGCTGCTCACACCATGACCACCTACTTGAAACTATTACAAGATGGGCCTGTGGAGCACAGACAAACAAAAGGACAAACAGACAGGCCTGAAATGTCAGTATTGCAGACAGCCTAGGCCCAATCTTGGTGGGGACTGAGGCCAGCTCCTCAACATGCCAATCATACTACTAGGATACACACAGGTTAACACATGCAAACATACTTGGGATACCTATCATCTGGACACGGTTTCTGGTATAATCAAGTGCTTCTTTGCCTAATCAGATGGCCACAGGCATTGTCCTGAGGAGACATACCCATACACCAGACACAGACACACACAGTACCACAAAAGATACATGTACACACACCATACACCCTGCATGCTGCTTCCAGCTATATACAAAACACAGGCACTCTCTCTTGGTCACCCTCACAATGTTTCCCCACCCACAACAGATGCATGATCACACACCTGTTACACATTCACTACACAGCCGTACCAGGAATGTGCAAATATGCAGTGTGCACCAAGAACTGCCCAATCGTCCCAAGCTCCCAGCTGATGACACTCTTGCACCCACACTCGGCACCTTCAGTCATGCAGGTGACAGAGTAAGGCGAGGTCCATGAGACCCAGATCCTCCTGGGAGGATCCCTGAGCTGCTGACTGAGCAGCAAGGTAGGGCATATAGGTACAGCCCTGCCTGCCTACAGATCCAGGGCCCTGAGAGGGCAGGCTTTGCATAGCCAGCAACACCTCTCCCATGGACAGATGGAAGAACAGAGCTAGTGTGCAACCCAGAGGGCCAGTATCAGTCCAGAAGACCATAGATAGGCATCTCCTCATAAGAGCAAAGGCCACTGTACAGAAGCCACCAGAGGAGGGTTGTCAGCCACCAGCACAGGCCAACACGTGCAATGGGACCTGTGTGCACGCATGTGGCAAGCATGTCTGACACCAGCCCATCTGCAGCCCACATGAGTAAAAGACAGTGCTATAGGGGTGCTTGCCATGAATAGAGAAGGCATACTGTCCTGGCTCCCAGCTCCCCTCACAGGCCCTAGTCTTAGCCATGAACCTGCTTAGGGAGTTTACCCCCATAATGGACAAATAGGCTGTCCAAACAGCTCCCTGCTAGCGGGCTACCTCATGATCCTCCTGCCTCAGCCTCCCTGAGTGCTGAGTTCTGTACCACTAGGCCTGGCTCCATCCTCAACTCCACTTCCTAGGACGCCAGAAGGCAGATGAGGGTTATAGCCAGGGAGGCAGCCTGTCTGACTGTCCATCTGCCTGTTGGTCCTGGCTCGGCCACCAGGGCGCAAGGAGCCTTACGGGTTTGTGTTCAGGCAGCCAGTCAGGAATGTTCAGGCCGCTGATCTCTGCTGTGATCTTCTTACGATGACCTGGCTTGGTAACACCAATGGCTGTGAGGTCCTAGGCAAAGAGGAGGCCCATTAACTAGCAGGTAGAAGGAACCTGCCTTTTGGAAGGGAAGCAGCTGACAACTAACCCATAGCAGCTCACCTCGGGGGTCATACGACTGATGGTGGGCAGGTCATAGCCAGCACTGGTGAAATTGGGGGCATAGAGTTGTAGCTGGAATGTGGCAAGCCACTGACTGACCACCTCAGCACTCTGCAAGACACAAGGTACCAACTGCAGCCTGTCCACTACTGGGCTGTGCCCCAACCTCCACTGTGCCTCCTTCTCTGCTTGGTTCATGGCCAAAGTGCTGGGTCCGCCGTTGTGTCCACTGCACCAGTACTCCATGATCTGTCGTCCTGGATACAGCATCTGCAGCCCTCCAGCCTTCTTCTGTGAGCTCCACCAGGAAGGTCCTGCAGAGTCTGTGCCATGACCTCCTCCCACCCCATGTCTGCGCCAATGATACCCATACCATCTCAGAGATGCAGATGTGGCCCTATAGGAGGGGACTCAGGGGGAAGGGCTTCAGGTAGGGCTGCTCCCTGGAAGGTGGGCTCTGTACCCTAGTCAGAAGTCCCTCGCCTCCTCTGCTGTGTGGAATTCAGCCATCAGATCATGCCTCACAGCCACAGGTGCATACACACATGACCCACTGCACCCACATACACATTTATGTGTCTTACACCCATCTCTTTCCATATGTGCAAACACACACATACATGCCCAGCTCATAGTGACCATTCCACATCCACACAACACCCTGCATACTTCTACAAGTGTGCACACACTAGCTCACAGCCTACACGATAGACAACACCTGTACACTTGTGTGTGTGTGTGTGTGTGTGTGTGTGTGTGTGTGTGTGTGTGTGTGTGCGCACGCGCACATGACACAGAGACAGACAGAAGGACAGAGTCTGGTCTGTCAAGGCCTGCAGTAACTGCTGTGGCCAGGTATGCCTGTCAGACTGTTAACCCCATCCCTCCCAAGTCCAGGCCTGGAGCTGACCAGGCCCTGTACCTTGCCCTCTGAGGCTGAGGCAGACTCCAGCTTCTTAGGAGGCTGCTCCCCATATACCTGCCCAGCATGGGCTGCTGGAGGCTGGGACCGGGCAGCACCTGGTGATGAAAGGAAGTGGCAGAACAAGGGCTATATAGGGGCCACCTGCCTGCCAGGCTAACATACCTGGATCCTTGCTCTTACCTGTAGAGCCCTCTGGAGGCTTGACGGGGCTATCTCCTGGGCTGGAATCAGAGACTGACTTCTGAGAAAGCACTGTTGCCAGGAGCTGGAACCCAGAAAGGTCACTTGCTGTCACTTGTCCAAGTCTGACTAGCCCAACCTGACCAACCCTCCCTGCTCACTCACCTTAACTCCTTCAGAGCCTGCATGCAGGGCATGGCCCCCACCACTTCTGCCCCCAGCCACATTGCTTAAGCTGCCACTGCGATCTCCACCTGCCAGGACAGAGACCATGAAGTATGCTGGCCCCACAGTGGAATCCAGCAGCAAAACTACTGTCCCAGTGCTCTGGAGGCCCCTGGCCTACCTGCAAAAGGCTTTCTCAGTACCCAGATCTCCTCTGGGGGTGCAGAGGGCCCCAAGGAGCCACTTCCCTGGGGTGGGCTTGGCTCACTGCCTGTTCGGGAACCTGTAGGCCAAACACAGCTTTCCTGAACCCTGGGTAGCCCAAGCATAGCCACACATAGAGAGGAAACGGTAATAAAGGCCATTCTGCCGCCTTCTGCCTTGTCTCCAGTAACCTGAGAGACCCTGAATGTCTGAGACCAGGTCAGAGTAACAGAGGCACAGGGCCCTATAGGCAAAGAGGCTGAGGATCACTGAAAGGTTGACTTTCTCTGTGCTTGGGGACAGGTAAAGACAGGTAAGGAGCCACCCAATGGCCTGAGACCAAATCTGTCCTAGAACCAGATGACCACAGGTGGCTGACCTACCTGGGCCTCTTGCCCCACCTGCTGATCTCCACCCATGTCCACTCTAAAAGACAAATCAACCCCATCCTCCTACTCCTCCTCCAGCCTCGTTAAACCATACTATGGAGTTTTCCAAGTTGGTCCTGCAACCCTCCCACAGGCTCTACCATTAGGTGCTGAGATCCTGACCCACTGTCCTTGCAAATATGGTTCATGTTGCCAGGACTGTGTCGCCCATGACCTAGCCTCTACCAGCCATCAAAACCTCCTCTGGTTTCCCTAACTCAGGTGAGCCTTGCTTCACTTTCTCTGTTGGTTCAGTGGTTGGCTCTTCTCCTGTGTTAATGTTAACAATCCCTGCTCTTTCCCATCTCAGGAAAGACCACTGTCTGCTTCGGACCCTTAGTAGCCACCTAAGAATTGGTGGCACATGCCTTTAATCCCAGCACTCGGGAGGCCATCAGTGGCAGGTGAATCTGAGTCTGAGACCAGCCTGGTCTACACAGTGAGTTCCAGGACATCTAGATGGGCTACATAGAGAAACCCTGTCTCAAAAAACCCAAAATAAGAATTGGACAATGGAAGGTATGGTAGACAAAAAGAAGGCATGCACATGGTACTCTGCTGAGAGGGGGGCAGGAGGAGGGGTTACTGGATGCCAGTCTTGGCCACAGCTAGAGTTCAAGCTGGCTCTGCCACCAACTGAAGTGTACTTATTTCCAGTTCCCAGTCTCAGGCTGAGTGACCCTTGATTGCTTCCCTCCAGAGTTGGGCAAGGGTGGGGGATGGACTTACCTGCTCGTTTGACAATAGCCTCTCCCAGGGAGGATGGGAAGTAGCCCACCCTGTCATTGCCTGTCCGGTTGTCATGGATACAGCCTTTCCACCGGCCATCTGGATGCTGTTCAAGTACCTGACCAAACAAATGAAGTGTGTTCAGGGAGACACCTCCACAGGTGAGGCCTGCTGCCCTGCACCCTCCCCCAACAGCACCCAGGAGCTGTCCTCACCGTGATAATGTCCCCAGCCTTTACATTGAGACTGGTCAGGTCATAATTGTTACAGTAATCCTTGGTCGCCCGGACCTGTAGAGCTGCTGAGGCCTCTGGAGATACAGGGAATAGATCCCCAGTCCTGGGAGCTGACCTCCCCAGCCCTATCCCAGCCCTTGGCCCCACCCCGGCCCACCTCGAAGCAGTTGCTTGATCTCTTTGCTGGCCTGGGATGTAGTAAACTGGTGTACAATGTCCAGTGCTGTCTGGCTGTAGGTGTTTCTCACCTGGGCATTGATTCCACTCTGTATACACCAAAGGCCAAGGTCTTGTCAAGGGTTCCCATGCCTCCCACTTGACCCCAACATTCCTCTCTGCGTTCTGGGTCACCAGACTCACATCCAACAGCAACCGAACCACTTCTGTCTTCCCACAGAGTGCAGCCTCGTGAAGAGCCGTGCCTGACTTGGTCTGGCGGTTAATATCAATGCCTGCCTGAAGAAGGAGTCTAGTGCAAAGACAGAGGGCAGGCAAGGCGTTTTAGCTGGAGCCCTTCTCAGCACCCTCAAACTAGATCTTGGTTCTAACTGTCTTCCAAGGCTGAATGACAAGTCTCCCTGCCCTTGTGTAATGATATGATGACCAGTATTTCTGACACTTTGCAGAAGGCCTGTCCACGACTGAATTTTCACAGCAGTTGTTTTGTTCAGATCTAGGGTATGCAATGTTGTGAGGCCCCTTTTATAGATGAGGGAACTGAAGCTTGGGGAAGTTAAATGCAGCTACAAGATTTCAGCAGGTGGCAAGATCAAATCAAGGCCAAGACTGAGGAGGTACAGAAGCATCTTCCCCAGCCTCTCCAGTTTTTCCTTTATCTGGGCACACTCAGGTTACCACAACTGCACCTTCCTTCAGGTATCGTGCGTGTACATGCATGTGTGTGTGCATGCATGCATGCATGCGCGTGTATGCTAGGGATTGAACCTAGGGCCTCATGCATGCTAGGCAAGTGCTCCCCCAGAGCTATATTCCAGACATTTTTTGTGTCTATACATGTCCATTTGTAATGTACAAGTGTATGAGTGCACATTCACATGTGTGCAAATGTGTGTAGAGACCAGAGGTTGATGTTGGGTGTCTTCAATCACTCTTCACCTTTTTAAGTTTTTTTTTAAATTTATATGTATGTGTGCATGTGTCTGCAAATGGAAATGTGCAAGTGAGTGAGTGTGTGCTTGTGAGGGAGTGTAGCGGGTTCCCTGGAGCTGGAGTTAGAGGTTGTAAGCTGTGTAACATTGGGTATTCTGGAGGAACAAGTCCTCTTAGCTGCTAAACTCTCTCTCTAGCCCTCCACATTATTGTTTGAGACAGGATGTTTCACAGAAACCTGAGCTCTCTGGTCCAGCTATACTGGCTGACCAGAAAGTCTCAGAGATACTCTTGTCTCTCCCTCTCCAGTGATGAGAGTATAGGCACGGGCTGCCATGTCTGGCGTCTTTACGACTGCATGGCAAGCACTTTACTAGCTGAGTCATCTCACCAGTAACCACCCCCTTTTAAGAGAGAGTCTCATGTAGCTCAAGCTGGCATCAAACTCATTATGTAGCAGAGGATAACCCTGAACTCTTCATCTTCCTGACCCCATCCCCACTTCAGTACTGGGATATGCATCTGACTCAAGGCCTTTATTTTTCATTTTTAGGTAGGATGTTGCTATGTTGCTTAGGTTAGCTTTGAACTCTCTATTCTCCTGCCTCAGGTGACAGGCATGACAGACCTGTGCCACTATCCTGGAGGCTCCTTCCTTCTTCCCTTCCTCCCTCCCTTCCTTCTTATCTATTAGGAGAGAGTGCTCCTTTCTTATTCCCAAGCCAAGAACAGGAGCCTGTGCCCCTAGATACCACCATGCCCCAGAGGCCTGAGGCTGGCCCCATTTCTGTTCCTGGCTGTACCTGATGATGTCGATGTGGCCATTCTTGGCTGCCAGGTGCAGGGGGCTGGTGCCATTGGGGTCAGTAGTGTCCCCTGGTCGGGGCTCCAGCAAGGCTGCACACATGTTGCTACTTAGTAGCAGCTGGACCACCTTGAAGGAAGGATCAGAGTAGGGTGGTCCTGACTTGGAGCTGCCCCTGGCCCCACCACAAGTGAGAAGGACAGGCAGGAAGCACCCCACCCATTTATGGGGAAAACTTACCCCTACTCGGCCGAACTCACAGGCCAGGTCCAGAGGTGTCTTTCCAGAGTTGTCTACCATGCAAGGGTTTGACTGATGCTGCAATAGCATCTCTGACTGCAGGACAAGGGGCTTGTTATACCTGGGGCCACCCAACCCTCTGCCTGACTTCCCACCCAGACTCCCCATGAGGCCTCACCACATCGTAGTGACCATGCTGGGCAGCCAAATGCAGGGGTATGTGGCCCTCGTCGGATGGGACATTTACTGCTGAGCCTGCCTTCAGCACCAGCTTCATGGGCTCCTTCCGGCCCTGCCAGGCTGCATAGTGCAATGGCCGCATGCCTGGGGACAGGTATAGTTCATTGGAAACTAAGTCCTGACCCTGAATCCAACCCTCACTAAGAATATGTCACCACCTCTAAGGTTCTGTCTTAACTTTGGGCTGAAGTCTGCCAGGATTCCACCCTTGGCCTTGTCCCCTGCCCTTGGCTTCAAGGCCCCCCAGACCAGGCTTGCCTTTGTTGTCCTTGATGTCTACAGCAGCCTGAGCCTCCAGCAGAAGAGAGATCAATTCTGTGTTGCCATTCAGGGCAGCATGGTGCAGGGCTGAGAAGCTGGGTAGATGAAGGACAGGTCTAGGAGTGAAGCCAGTGCCCAGCTGTCCCTGGGGCCCATCTACCCTTGGGATCCATGCTGCTACTGCCCAAGCTGACAACTCACCCGTCTGGGTCCTGGAAGTTAACATTGATCTTCTTGGTAGAGCCCAGGAGCTCTGTGGAGGGAGGAAGACCCAGTGAGGAGAGGTGGTCCAGACCCTCTTAAGAGCAGGGGAGGGTAGTAGTGATCTGCCTGCCTGTTGGAGCAAGATCTTAGTCTATAGTCATGCATCCAGCTCAGCAGGGACTCGGCTCTCGGTGTTTGACCTGTCCGCATCTGGGAATGGGAGATCAGACCATGCACACACATGTGTACATGCACCCCTCCCTTGGGACACTGGCTCAGCACCTGCCATTGGTGGGAGGGAGAGAGCCAGCCCCATCTGTCTCTCAGAAGGACCCAGATGGGGCCGGGGGTGGTTGAGGAGGCTGGAACACCCGGAAATGGGGTATTTCTGGGGGAAAGGACTACATCTCCAAGCCCTCTGCTGCCAGCTCTGGCTGCCATGTGAATATGCCCTCCAGCCCTGCAAGGAGAGAGGGAGGTTGGCTTGTAGGCAAGGGCCTTCAGGTGACTCATGCCAATGGCCACCTTGCCCACAAAAGCTATATTCAGACTTCATGTTCTGACCAACTATAGGACCAGGGTCCACACTCTCCCTTCTGAGGGTCTCTCATCCTGTGGTCTCCCTCACCATGACCTTTTCTAGAGCTTTCAGAAGAGGGAGCCCACCAAAGCCCTCCCAGTGGGCCCTTGTCCACCGGACTCTTGCCAACCCCCTGCCTGTCTGGGCCATGGTTATATAACCCATTTGTGGGTCAGTCACTCTGGGGGGGGGGGCTAAACGGACAGAAGCCCCTTTGTCCAAGCTCAGAACAGGGGTGGGGGTGGGCGATGGGGACCCAAAGGCTGAGGAGCCAAGAGAGTAGAGTCACAGTGGGCTGGCTGTAGGGCTTAGCTTGGATTGGCTCAGCCTCAGCCACTGGGCACAGCATGTGGATCTCTTAACAGTCCCTGAAGCCCGGAAGCCAGCTGCACCTAAACTTGAATCTTTGTCCTGACATTTCCTAGCCCTGTGGCCTTGGCCACTGATCTCTTCGGTGAGCTAGAAAAGGCAGTATCACTTGAGCTAGTGAGACTGGGAGCATTACTTGAATACTAGGCCCTACTAACACTAGCTGGGCAGGCCCAACATCGCACAGTCTCTCCTGGATAGAGTGAAGGTACTGCCACCTACTGGTTGCTCTCATGTTCTCAGATACTACTGGTACCAGTTCATCAACTATATACCATTTGACCAGTGGTCAGCCAGACCAAGCCTGGGCATCAAGAGTCAGCCCTGGTTATCCAAGCACTTGGGAGGCAGAAGCAAGCGGATCACTGTGATTTTGAGGCCAACCTGGTCTACAGAGTGAGTTCCTGGACAGCCAGAGCTACACAGAGTGAGATCCTGTCTCAAAAAGTAAAAAAACAAACAAACAAACAAACAAACAAAAACCCAAACCAACCAAACAAACAAACAAAAACCAAAAAAACAAAACAAAGAGTCAACCCTAGGGGTCTTTCTCATGGAGCTAAGTCATGTTCCCAGGCAAACCCCCCTGACTCTACCTGAAGATACTCTCAAAACACATCAGGTCCCATGCTTTTCACCATACCACAGTTTCCACCATGGGCCAGGCTGGCACTTCAGGCAGGAGCCCTGCAATGCATTGCCTTCCCATTGGTGTCACTACCGACTTCTTGTACCGCTTGGTTTGTCCTCTGCACAAATAAGTCAGAGCACTGTTAAAATGCAGGTCACAGCCAAACATAGTGGCATATGCTTTTAATCTCAGCACTCAGGAGATAAAGAGCAGAGAATCAGGAGTTCAAGGCCAAACTTGACTACATAGTAAGTTTTAGGCTGACCTGCGCTATATAAGATGCTGTAACAAGAAAGAAAGGAAGAAAGAAAAAAAGAAAGAAAGAGGCAGGAAGGAAAGCAGGCAAAACAAAACTCCCAAAAACCAAAAGTTACAGCCACATGTAGTATAGTACATGTGCCTGTCACTGCGGTACTTTGGAGGTGAAGTCAGAAGAGTTCTGAGTCTGGGGCGTGGGGGTCGCACCAGTGCAATGGCTACCTAGGTGAATATGCCTGCCAGCAAGGCTAACAACTTGAATTCAAGCCTTAAAACCTACCTGGGGGGAGAGTGAAAATTGACTTATGCAAGCTGTTTATGACACATGTACCATGGCACATGCATGCTCACATAAATAAATAATACACACATACAAACATGAAAGTTTTAAAAAAGGGAGCCAGGTATGGTGGTACCTGCCTTTAATCCCCCCAGTACTTAGGAGCAAGGGCGGCGGAGCTCTGTAAGTCTGGCTTAGTCCAGTGACACAGTGAGACCCTGTCTCAAAGCAAAACCCCACAAACAAATGCTCACCAAAGTAGAAAACAAGAGTACAGACCTCCTGGAAACCCTCCAGCACCATTTCACTGGGGTGGGGGCTAAGGGTGCAACGTCTCACGTGATTGGGCTCTTGATGTTGCTCTGACCTCTTCCCTCTCCTCTATTCTCATCATCCCTGCTACTGCTGCATAGCCTTCTTGATTATAGGCCACCATGGCCACAGGACCTTTGCATGACACCCTCCTTCACACACTTCAGGTCTGTTCAGATGTAGCCTATTCTCCAAGATCTCACATCTGAAATGCTACCCTTCCCTTCCTGGACTAGTTGTGTTTTTCTCCCTAGGCCTCTTCACCACCCAGCATATCACATCAATTTCTGTCATGGCTTTGGTGGCTAAACAATGCCAACTCCATCCTACATGCTGTCTGTCCACCTTCAGGGCCAGCTGCATGGGTAGGTGACCCGTGTATTTACTCAGAAAGGTACCCTATTCGAACACTTGGATTTCAGGTAAGGGTCCTATATTAACATCTTACATAAGGCCCTGAAAACTATATATGACTGGAACTTCTTCAGTCCCCTGCTATGATGGCATAGCCTCAAGACACTTTGTCCCATTCTTCTCAACTGTAATGCAGTCAGGGCTCAGAATCTCCAAGGCTTCCCAAATGCCTGTTCTCCCTCCACCATAGTTCTTCCAGGCAGCTACAGTCAGGGTTAGGGAATGGAAGCCCCAGGCAAGCTGCTCTGAGGTCAGAGAAGTAGAAGCCAAAGTTTTAAAGAGGTATAGAAGTTAAGACTCAAAAAAGGATTCAAGAGAGGAGGGAGGGCTCCATCAAGAATGGGACTGCCAACAGGGCATAATCTGTACGCCTTTAATTCCAGCATTTAGGAAGCTGAAATAGATCTCTGTGAGTTCAAGGCTAGCTTGATCTATGTAGCCAGGTAGCCAGCCAAGATTACACAGTGAGAGTGTTTCAAAAGAAAATTAATTTTATTTTTTTAAAAAGGGGGGGCTGCTCCCCTTGTGGGGAGGGTCACCTTTCCAAGGACACAAATGCACAGTCCCATAGGGAGGGGAGTAGTGTAAACTGCTTGGAAGGCAGTTTGAGACCTCAGGGCATCTTCAGTGCCTTCAGGAGATACCGAAGAAAGTTTAGGGCTGGGGTGGCTATCAAACAGAAGGACAGGCTCTCAGAATGAATCAGGAGCAAAAGACAGCTGAAGGAGGCCTGGGAACTGAGGAAGGGGCAGGTGGTGACCAAGTTAACAGCCTCAGGAGCCCCTTTCGATTTTTGTTCGTTTTGTTTTTCGAGACAGGGGTTCTCTGTGTAGTCCTGGCTGTCCTGGAACTTGCTCTGTAGACCAGGCTGGCCTTGAACTCAAAGAGATCTGCCTGCCTCTGCCCCCACCCCCCTGTCCCCAGTGCTAGGATTAAATGTGTGGGCACTGCCTGGCCCCTTTCACTTTTTAATAGGTGTCTGCATTGATACAGAACATAGACCCGGGCTGCAGCTTCCTGGCAGAGAGCCTACTTAGCATTTATGAAGCCCTGGAATTCCATCCCCAGTACCACACACATACACAAACAGTGCACAAACCTTTGCTCCTGTTTCTTGTGACCTCAGACCTCACACTGCTCTCCAGAAACCAGCCTGAGGCCAGATCCACACTTGGGCTGGGAGGATTTTTATTTTAAAGACCCTTAACTCACTATGTAGATGAGGGTGACCGAGAACTCACAGAGATCCTCCTGACTCGGCCTCAAAAGTACTGGGATTAATAGTGTGTGCTACAGCCACAACCAGAAGGGGATTCTTAGTGGGCCAAGGTGCGTGTGTGAGAGAGAAGGGCTCTGGGAATTCCTACTGGTGTTCTCAACCTGCCTTGGGGAGGGAGACTAGGCCACAAGACTAGACAGAACCCCTTTCCAGTAGCAACATCTTTCCTCTAAAGTTGTCTCTTTTCCTCTCAAGGACAACGGCTAAATGTGCATGCATGTGCAGACTCCCTTGGAGGTGAGGTGGGGGCTAACAGAGCCATGGGCTGGAGGGAAGAGCTGAGCACCCTAAAAGGCTCAAGAACAAAATTGTGGGAAAATCTCTAGGCTAGACTGTGACATACTTTCTTTTTTGTTTCATTTTTGTTTTTTGAGACAGGGTCTCTAGAACTTACTATGTAGACTAGGCTGGCCTTGAACTCACAGAGATCTGTCTGTCTCTGCCTCCCAATCACTAGGGGATCAAGGGTGTGCACCACTATGCTTGGCTTGTGTGTGGGGCAACACATTCTTAAGCATGCTTATGGACACCCCTCACCCCATGGCCTAAACTCCAGCTGTACTTTGCTAAATCAAAATACATCTTACTCCAAAGCAGGCCAGCGTTGCCATGACAACCGAGCTAATTCATGGAGGGATTTCTCTGTCTGATTTATTGTACCGCCCCTCTGACTCAGAGAGTACAGACATAAGGGCCAAGGCAGGTGCCTCTGCTGTCTCTTAGACCACACCAGTCAGAGGCAGAAGTCGAGACCCTGGTACTCTCACCTCCCCACAACTGCCACATGGAAGGGAAGAGGAATCCCAAATTTGTGGTTCTCACTGGCTGGTGGCAGAAAAAATCAGCACCATTAACATTTACTGAACTGAGTGTCTCCTCTTCACCAGTGACTTCTTACTGTTTTCATGATGTTGTGGGGTGACAGGGACCACAGATATTCCATCCTACAGATTAGGCCATTAAGGTCTTGAGAGTCAGTATGACCAAGGACACGTGGCCACTATGTGGAAAGCTGTGCCTAACCCTCTTCCATCTGCCTCTCCTAAAAGCTCTTCCACTCCACCGTGAGGTCCTAAAGCCAGTCCTAGTAGATGGAGCTTCCCAGCCAGACTGTGTGTCATGGAGGCACCAGTGTCCTCACCAACAAGGAAAGTGGACACAAGCCTTTCCAGACAGTCCATGTCTCAGCAGCCCCCTGGAAAAATGGGATTCCCCTTTCCCCAACTTATATGCAGTTTCTGGTTGTGGGTAGGAAGTGGAGACACCCATGTCCCATGTGTTGACCTACAGAGCCCAGTTCGTGTCTGCACAGGTGCCCTGACACACTGACACGGTCATACGTGCGCAGCTGCACACTCGGCTAGTCCACACGCCCATCCATCCATCTCCAGAGGCCCCTAGGGAGGCTCCAGGGCTGAGAGCTAGAATCAAAGCTCCAAGCTCCCAGTCCTTCCCTGGACCCCCTGGGAACAAGCTAGGGATGGTGTGGGAGCTCCTTTACTGATCCTTGGCCCCCTCTCCTAGCAGAGAATCCAGGGATGACCAAGGGCTATAGAAACCTGCATAAGCAGTGAGCCCACAGTTCTTATCCCCCTCCCCCAAGGCTGTGCCTGCCTGAAGCCCAGCCTGCCCCAGGGCTGGGCGACCTTGGGCCTCTGCTTCACTACCTCATCAGTAAATGGCCCCCACTGGCCATGCTTGGACAGCCACACCCCCAGCGTGGTTCCCCCCCCCCCAACTGCAAAGCCTGTTATTAAACATAGGTTTGGGAGGAAAGGTGTGACAGAGATTGTTAGTCTCTGGGTCGTCCCTCACTGTAAGGGCCCCTCCCTCTCTCCACAGTGTGTGTGTGGGGGGGAGGGGGATATCTGCCTCGCCCTTATTTGCCCAAGTAGAAATCATCAGCCCGCAGCCTGGGAAGGGAGGGGGTCCGAGGAAAGAGGTGATCGCCAGCGGCCTCAGGGGACCGTGGGTGCCGCAGGTGCCTGCAGGGGGCTGGGCAGACGGGGTCCGGCGCTCGTTGCCTCCCCTCCTCCAGAGCTGGGGCGAGAAAGGGGGGCGCCGACTAAGGGTCTGGGCGCTCCTGGCCCCGCCCCACCCCCGGAGACCCAAAGCATCCCTTCCCCGCCCTGCACCCCGGCGGTGGGGGCCCCGCCCGCGCCCCGCGCACCCCCAGCACTCACTGGCCTTCCCCGGCCGCGGCCTCTGCAGCAGCCTCTGCGCGGTCCCCACGTCCTCCGCCTTCACCGCCTGCACCAGCTCCTGCTCCTTCCCCATGGCGCCGCCCGGCCCGCAGCGACGCGGCGCTTGATGCTCTCGCCGGTTCAGACGCTGCGGCGGCCCCGCGTCTGCGATCGCATCCTTTCCAGCCCGCGCTGCCTGCGCCGCCCGCCGCCCAGCGCCCTCCGCGGGTTCGGGTTCGGGCTCGGACTCGGGCTCGGGCTGGGGTTTCGGGCTCGGACTGGGGCTGGGGCTCCGACGCGGAGGGACGGATAGCGCGTCACGGGCGGGGGGCGGCCCGGGGGCGGGAGCCGGCGACGGCGGCGGGCACCCGGTGGCGCGCCGCGTCTTAGCCGCCTCCCGGACGCCTGGGTCCGCTCCCGCGGCCGCTGACCTCCGTCAGCCCGCGCCGGCCGCGCGCCCGGCTCCGAGGCTCCGCCCCCGCATTGGCCCTCCCCCGCTCCCGACGCCCCCTCCCCACGTTTGGACGCGCGGGTCAGGCTAGGCCTCTGCGGACAGCGGGGAACCGAGGACGACCGCCGGGGACAGAGAACAGTGCGCCGGCGTGGGGGCTGGCCACGGAGCACCGGCACGACGGCGACGCAAGGCTAAACCTAGGAGAGGTTTCTCGAGGCTGCGGGACCTGAGGGGGAGGGACTCGAGACAGTGGGCGGGCGGGGAGCCGGGCACCAGTGCCACCGGTGCTGGCCCTCCAGAGGCTGTCAGACATTTCTGGCCCGTGGATCCTGTGGGAGGTGTTGAGGGATTGCGAAGAGGAATCTCCCAATAATGAATTCGGTGTCAGGGAACCCGTACCCCCCTCCCCCCCAGTTACACCTTCTTTTCTGGCAGCCTCTGACTTCTTTCTACAACAATGCAGGATGACAATTCTTCGAGGACAGCCTGGAAGGGAGCTTGACTTCGCCACTCTCAGTATCTACTGGGATGTAACTATCTTCACCAAGAAGGAAATTAACCTCCCATCCTCCGCACCACTTAAGGCCCAGCCCTGCCCGGCCCTGCACCATTCTAGTCCAACCTAATCAACCTCCAGCCACAGGTTCCCAGTCGTCAGGATCTTCTGCTTGACCAACACCTCAAGGGATCTTACCTTTCTCCTGCCTGCCAGACGGCTAGGGCTGCTCGAGGCCTCTCCTTATCTTGCCTGCAACATTGTGGACACAGAGTTGTGCTCCATATCTTGGGTAAGGGTCTACTGCCTCGGTTTCCTTATTTCCAAGCAGGATCAGAGCGTCGTCCCAACCCAGCAAGACAGTAGAGAGAATGTGGTGAGGATTCACCGTATGCATACCTGACATACTGTTCTTGTGGTTCTAGACCATGCAGCAGGTCCAGAAGGGCAGGGTAGAAGCAGCAGCTGGTACAAGGATTTCCAGGATCATGTAATTCTGATCATGGTAGAGTCATGAGGCTCAGGGAATGTGCCTGGATCTCCTATGTGCTGGGCCCTCAGAAGAGGTCTCTGAATTAAAAAAAATCCTTGCCTTGATCCTTTATAGTGACCAATTTGTGGTTACTGTCAGGGTCAGGTGCTGTGCTGGTCATTTGGGGTAAAGCTGAATTTACTGTCCCCATTTTACAGGTTGAAAAACAACAATTAAGCTTTAGAGATTCTGTGCATTCCTGAATGTGTGCTACAAGGGCCCTGGGTCTCAAGGTCATGAATCTGGACTTGGAACCTACATTGATTCCTGTCCCAGTTCTTCTTACTGGTTTGTCATCCTGAACTGGTAACTTAGTCTTTCTGAGTCTGTCATCTGCCCTCCCTGTCAAAGGTGGGTCAGCAGTGTGTCCCCTCTACTTACTCCAGGGATAATTGTGATGCTGTCCCCACAATTAATCTTGGATATAGCAAATGCTCAGCAAATAGCTGCTGTGAACAATGTGATGTTCTTGGGCCTCTCTGCAGGGATTGCAGCTGTATTAGATTCATCTTCACATGATACATTGCCAAGGACATAGGAAGCACTACAAAAATAAATATATAAAAAGAAAACAGCTATTATCATGACTATTATTGCTGTGTTTGCAGCTTCTAAGGTAAATAATCTTTGTAGGACCTGGGGCAAAAATACAAACAGAAGCCCACTCACCAAATGTCTATTTCAATGTTGTGACTCACACTAATAACCTGTAAATAAAATATCTTTTAGCCTCCTACTTTAACAAATATACCTTCACCAAGACCCGAAAGGGCAAGTTAAAATTTAGAATTCTTGGACTGCTTTTGGGTGATGAACTGGTCCTTGCCTGTAGCTGTCATTCCTGTTCTCTGTCCAGCTCCAGCATCAGCTTACCTGGTAAACAGGCACCCCTGGGCCACTCCTCAGGCCAGATGTGCGCATCTCATTATGTAGCCACCCGGGAGGAGGGATGTGCAGACCAGAAAAATGAACTATATCTCCTTGGACAGGAAATCCAAGGGTTCCAGTTAAATATTCATATTGTGGTCTGGAAGGGACATCTGGAAGGTCCGACTAGAGCCCAGAAGGGGTCCCAGAGACCAAGGTACTGCTAATGAATGACAATGTTGGACAAGCTCCTGATGCTCAGCTGCTTTGTCTGTGAAATGGGACAGCAGCTCTGCCTGGAGGGCTGATGGGAAGGTCTGCATGGATACAAAGATGTTCATGTGATTTGATCCCCTCCCCATGCACATGGGAAGAGGGCAGCATAGCACACTGTTATTTGCTATGATAACTGGGGCAAAGGATGCAGATTCCTGGGTCTGGGGCAGCCCTCCAGGGTGTCAGGCCTCTGAAGATCCAGGGAGGAGGGGCCGCTGAGCAAGCAGAATTGCTGAGCTGATGGCAGCTTCACTGCAGCCCTGACTGGCTTTCTTCCCGGATGCTTAGCTGCCACCAGCCAGCCCACAGCCCCTGCCTCTGCCTATCAGCTTTCCCCAAGCATTGGTACCAAGCCCCTCATGAGTACAATGGTGATGTTGAATGTGCCTTCCCATGGGTTGCTGGAAGTATGTCAGGTGTCATTTCTGTGGGCACTACCTCTGTAAAGTGCTGTGCTGGTGAGTAGTATCTCACAAAGGCTCAACAGCCACACACGCCCCATTTCTTCTACCCCACAGAGATGCTGGAGCTGCTCAGGGCCACGCCCAGTTTAACAGCTATCTCTGAGTTGAACCATCTGCAGCATCCCAGCCTTTAGCTCCTAGCCCCACCTAGAGTTCCAAAGAAAGGGCAAAGGCTCAGGAAACAGGTGACACACATATGGCCACTCTTCTGTGTTCTTGGGTCCCATCATGATTGATTTAAATGTCTTTCTTATGCTGTCTCTTCTCTTCACCCAGCATCCTCAGGGCTCTGAGCCTTCAGTAGAGTTGCCTTTGGGGAGCTTATGCTTCATCAAAAGGAAGATAAGTAAGATGCAGGGTCCTTGTGGATCAGTCTCCTCAGCTGGCCAGAAAGGATGAAGTCAGGAGAGAGTGGGGTCTGAACTGCAGCTGGGCTAAACTGGGATTCACCATCTTTCAGCTCTGAGTTTTAAGTGGCAGTTCTGCAGCCCTGAGCCTGTTTTCTGACAAGATATCCCCAGACAGGGACTGATTCTCCTGAGTAAACTCACTGCAGAATACTAAGTATGATGTACTGAAAACACTCATGATGTTTTGGCAGTTCCTCAAAAAAATTGAACATAGCAGGCTGGAGAAATGGCTCAGTGGCAGAACACAGAGTGAACGTAACCCAGTAATTCCATTCCTAAGGTAGTTCCAAGTCAAATGAAAACATAAATGCAAACAGATGCTTGTACATAAACATTTATAGTAGTAGCACTGTGTCATAATATAGGAGGAAATAACTCAGATATCCATCATGAGTGAACAAATAAAATGAGGTTCATACATACAATGGGACAATGTTTAGCCACAGAAAGAAATGAAATAGTAACTCATACCTAGTGTGTAGGTCTGGCTGTCTTGGAACTAGCTCTGCAGACTGGACTAGCCTAGAACTCACAGAGATTCCCCCATCCATTTCCCAAGTGCTGGGATTAAAGGTATGGGCCACCACTGCCCATCAAATTGATTTTTTTTAAATACAGGATCTCATTATGTAGCCAAATGAAGCTGGTCTTGAATTCATGGTCTTCTGACTAAGGATTCCAAGTGCCAGGATTACAAATGTGTCATATTGACTAAATTGTTAACTCTTTTTTTTAATTTATGTATTTCTGGGCTAGCCTAGAATGTACCAGGCAGTCTTTCTACTACTGATTTGTGTCCCTTGTCTGAACTGTTCAATTTAAATGGCCAGTTGTGGGACTAGAGAGATAGCTCATAAGTTAGGAGTAATTCTGTTTTTCCAGAGGATCTGAGTTTAGTTCCCAGCACCCGTATCAGGTTGCTTACAACCTGTTACCCCCAGCTCTAGGAGATCACATACCCTTTCCTGGTCTCTGAGGGCACCTGCAGGCATGTATGTATACTAACTGGGACATTACATACCCATAAATAAAAACAAACTTAATAAAAGGACAATTTTATGCTTTGTGCGTTTCCCCTGAACCAGCACAAAGTCCCACAAAGAACAAGCTCAGACAGTGAAAGTGAAGATGCTGAGAGCCAACAGCGAGGTAGGTGACGGGATGGAGGGAAGAACAGCCTAGGCAGCAGGTGTGGCAAGAGTCTGTCTCTCTGCTGAGCCAGTGGTCTTCAGGGAAGAGCAACTAGACAGAGGCAAGAGCTAGACTCAGGAACCTGGAAGGTTTCTGGAATCCCTGAAGGCTCTTGTGGGTTAATAAGGCCAGATTTCAACTGGTAGAAGACCACACAGGCCTATCTGTGATTCTAGCACTTGAGAGGTGAAGGCAGGAAGAGGAGGTCAAGGTCATCTTTAGTTACAGAGCAAGTTCCAACCAGCCTGGGATACATGAAATTATGTGGAGAAGAAGAGGAGGAGAAGGTACAGCAAACAGGTCAACTGTTAAAAAGGGGACTAGGGGGCTGGAGAGATGGCTCATTGGTCAAGAGCACTGACTGCTATTCCAGAGGTTCTGAGTCCAAGTCCCAGTGCCCACATGGCAGCTCACAACTGTCTGTAATTCTAGTTCCAGGGGATCCAATGCCTTCTCACAAATACAGGTGGAGGCAAAACACCAATGCACATAAAAATAAAACATTAAGCTGGGCACACGCCTTTAATCCTAGCACTCAGGAAGCAGAGGCAGGCAGATCTCTGTGAGTTCGAGACCAGCCTGGTCTACAAGAGCTAGTTCCAGGACAGCCTCCAAAACCACAGAGAAACCCCATCTCGAAAAACCAAAATAAATAAATAAAGCATTTAAAAAAAGGGCGGGGAAACTAGAGTATGGCTTTCTAAGATGTGATGGCAGTGGTGGTCCAGGCCTAGCACTTGGGAGACAAAGGTAGGTGGATCTCTGAGTTCAAGGTCACTCTGGTCTACAGAGTGAGTTCCAGGACATCCAGGGTTACACAGAGAAACCCTGTCTTGGTTGGAATACAACAAGCAAACAAAAAAAGATGTGAGGAGGTGGGTATCAGGTGAAATTGTTGGCTGAAAATGGAAAAGATGAGGGATGTGCTCAGATTATAGTTAGTTATTACATATAATCAGACACTGCTTACAGAAGGGCATCTGGTCAGTGAGGAATCACCTTGGACATGAAAGGTGACTTCCTCTGTGCGGCAATTGTGTGCCATAATTAACAGAGAGCTGGATGTGCTTCAAGAGCCTGGGAATTGAAGATGAGCGTGGCAAGACACCAGAGCAAAGACAGCATGGGAAGCCTGTAGGGTAAGGCAAAGAGAAAAGGGGGAGAGTGATGGGAGGGGCACAGGGAGAGAGCCCATTGAGGTAATCTGGTACTGGTACTAGGGCACAAAGGAAGGAATGAGATTTTTCTGTCATCTACAGTACAGAAGGGTCAGGAGGTGGAAAGAAAGTATCTACTGAGTTTGGCAGATTAAGCTGGGCAGTGGCCTTGAGGAATTTCCCCAGAGAACTTGGGGGTAAAGCTGAGGAACGAGGGGGATGGGAAGTGGGGCTACCACATGGTGAGGACAGCTCTTTGGAGAAGAGACTTTAGCTGGAAAGAGAGTATTGAGGTTGTTTTTGGTTTTAAAACACTAAGAGGGAGGCTGAAGTTAGCACTGAAACTCAGATGGTAGTGTACTTGCCTAGCATGTGCAAAGCCCTGACATCTTCAAGTGATACAGACAGGGGACTTGAAGTTCAAGGTCACCCTTGCTTACATAAGAAGTTTGAAGGCCCCATAAAATACCAAACAAATCCTGGTTGAAAAAACTAAGTCAGTCGGTGGTGGTGCACACCTGTGATCCCAGCAGGCAGAGGCAGGCTGATCTCTGTGAGTTCAAGGCCAGTCCAGTCTATAGCATGAGGTCCAGCATAGCCAGAGCAACACAGAGAAACCCTGTGCGGAAAAATAAAAACACAAAAACCCAAAACAAAACAAAACAAAAAACCAAACAAACCAAAAGGCAAAAAACAAAACAAACAAACAAACAACAAGCCAAACAACAAAAACCCACGAAGGAGGTAAAGATTAAAAGGGCCTGGGGAAAGGCACCAGGGAGAAGGTTAATCTATGGTCAAGGACCTGATGCATGGACGGGAATTGGCATTGGCTAAGGAGCTGGATTCACCCTCTCTGTGGCCAGAGAAAAAAGGGGTTTGCATTCCCATCTATAGGATGGGAAAGCAAGGCTAACTTCGTGGAGTTCGGAGGGCTGTAATGAAAATGGGGGAAGTTTTAAAGGGTCCTGGATAACTTGTGTGCATTGAGGATCAGGCTAGGGCTGTACAGATCTGAAAGAGCCCAGACTAGACTAGGGTTACCAGATAAAGCAATAGAAGTACAGAATGCCCAGTTGCATTTGAACGTCTTGTAAGAAAGTAATTATTTTAGTACGACGTTTGAGATATGCTTATACAAAACAAAACAACAACAGCAAAAAAAAAAAAAAAAAAACTTTTAAAAAATATCTGGAAGTTTTTGTATTTGCCTGGAAATTCTAGCTTGGTAGTTAGGATAGGGGATTGTGAATGTATGCAGGGGTGGGGGAACGACAGTGCAATCCTTCCTGGGAACCAAGCCTGGAAAATAGACAGCCACACCATGTCTGTCAAGTGAGTACAAGGCTGGGGTCATGGGGTCACGGCTCACGCCCATTCCGCGCGCGACCGCTTCTGCTGTTCCACCTCTCAGAATTTTGGAATCACTGCAAACTCCCCCCACTACCGGGACTCATGGTCTCGCCCTGAGCGGCTATCGATAACTCTACACTCGGCCCGGCTTCTATCGACTCGCTCCTACTCGCCTCGCCGTCCTGAACCAAGGCAGAGTGCTGAGCGTGTGTAAGGTACGGAGGCCGCGGGGTAAGGGCTGCGTATCAGCCGCTGGGTGGCTAGGAGGGTGCGGTCGGGGTAATCAGGCTGGTAGGGCAGAGCCAAGTCGGTCTGCAGAGCACAGGGGTCCTCGGGGGTCCTGCCACACAGCGCCCCCACCCATCAGATCTCAATGCCGGGCAGCTACGCATGCGCAGCAGCATTGGTGCCCGGCTTTCCCCAGTCACGCTGCGCATGCGTTGCCTACCCTTGCGGCAGACGGCGCCCCTGTGATTGCCCTGTGTGTGTGACTGCCTCCTGCTGGCTGCAGGCGGGGTGGCGTCCCCATCAGTGCTGGTGAAGCTGAAGAACAGCGTGACTCCAAAGACTCTCGTTTTTCTTATCTTTAAAGTGATTATACTCAGTGTAATGTGCAGATTGTTTTCTCATACATTCGTCTTTTCCGCTAGATGTTTTGACCTTTGGACTTTGCCTATCGCCTCGCTGTTGTCCCAGTGCAGGCCTCATTTTTCCCAGCCATCAAACAATGAACACCACCCCAGGCACAGTGGGCAGTGACCCTGTCATCTTGGCAACTGCAGGCTATGACCACACTGTGCGCTTTTGGCAGGCGCACAGTGGCATCTGCACCCGAACAGTGCAGCATCAGGACTCTGTATCCTCCACTTGGAAGCAGGCAGGGTGGTGCTGGCCAGGATTATGTGTGAATGAAAAGGGCCCGGGGAAACTCAGGCCAGTGGTGGGCCTTGGGCCCTCCCTTTCCAGGGTTTACTTCCCATCATCCTTAACATATTCAGCAGGTGAATGCATTGGAGATTACACCAGACCGAAGCATGATTGCTGCTGCAGGTACCTGAGATTCTTGACCTCTGCCCTTGACTGGTGGCAGGACTACTTGGCCCCCATGCTTTAATTCAGCCTGTGTCTCTAGGTTACCAACATATCCGAATGTATGATCTCAACTCCAATAACCCCAACCCCATCATCAGTTATGACGGAGTCAATAAGAACATTGCATCTGTGGGCTTTCATGAGGATGGCCGCTGGATGTACACGGGCGGGGAAGACTGCACAGCTCGCATATGGGACCTCAGGTGTTGAGTGCTGGGCTGGAGAGGACGGCCGCATGGGGAGAGGGCAGCCAGGGCAGGTATTCTACGAACAGACTAATCAAGGGGGCTTTGAATGGGTGTTTGAGGGAAGAAGGGAAGCAGCAGAATGGAATTACATCAAAGCCAACCCTGTCTTGAGGCTAGGAGCCAGACTTCATTCCCTTTTTAATGACCTAACACTACCATCTGTGGGAAAGAGCCAAACTCCACAAGCTCCTAAGGTAGAAGCAACTCTTATTAGCAGAGAATGGGGGCTTTTGGTTGGATACCAATAGCATACATTAGGCACCATGTGTGACCCTAACTCCCCACAGATCCCGGAACCTGCAGTGTCAGCGTATCTTCCAGGTGAATGCACCCATTAATTGTGTGTGTCTGCATCCCAACCAGGTGAGGACTCATGGGACCAGTACCTGGGGGCTTTGGAAGGCAGAGGTACTCCACATCTTACCCTTACTATATCCCAGGCAGAACTCATTGTGGGTGACCAGAGTGGTGCTATCCACATCTGGGACCTGAAGACAGACCACAATGAGCAGCTGATCCCTGAGCCTGAGGTTTCCATCACGTCTGCCCACATTGACCCTGATGCCAGTTACATGGCAGCAGTCAATAGTGTTGTGAGTACTGGGTTTGGGTACAGGGGCATGTTAGCATCTAGCCTCTTATCTTCTGCAGATGAGCTGATTCCCTAGTTGTTCCTCAGGCCTAAGTTTCCATCCAGTTCCCAAAGTCAGACACTTGAGTACCACTCCTCATGTCCACCTTGTTGTCTGCCATAGCCCTCTCATCAGACTAGGCACCTCAACCAGTGTTTCTCAGGGTCAGTTATTTCCTCCTTTTCTTTCATGTTCCAGTCCATGACTTTCATCTTCCCTCATACTGACAAACTTCTCTGTGGCCTTCCTGGAATGCCTGATCTATTCTTCAACTGTAGAAGTATCCTTTAGCCTTATGGCAAGCTGCATTGTTCTGAGACCTTAAGATGCTCTGGCTCCTTTTCATGGATTGGTCCCTGCTTTTATCTCTAGTCTCATTTTCTCCTTTTAAATCATAGAACATCACTTGTTCTACATACTTACATTCCCTCCTTCTAGCCTTGGGTTGTTACCACTTCTATCTGGGTCCCTTCCTTCCTGCCTCCCTTCCTGCACATCTCTATTGGCCAGCAGCAGCCTCTGAGGAGCTGTGTTTGAGTCCCTGGCCAGTGTGGCCTCCTGCTTTTGGCTGGCTAGGCCATAACAGTTGGGGCCAAGCTTCCTGTAGACATGACCCAAGATGCTGGCCTTCCTGGCCTGGCCCCCCTGGTTCTGAGGGTCTGGGTTTTGAATGACTGCCCTCTTGTCCTATAGGGAAACTGCTATGTCTGGAACCTGACAGGGGGCATTGGTGACGAGGTGACTCAGCTCATTCCCAAGACCAAGATCCCAGCCCACACACGCTATGCACTGCAATGCCGCTTCAGCCCTGACTCCACGTGAGTGTTAGGGTCCTGGGAGTAGAGGGTATCTTCAGAGGGTGGGGGCACTATCTGGTGTGTGGTAAGTAGATACAAGGTGGTAGTAGCTGCTGAGATACCCATTGTCCAACCCCAGGCTCCTTGCCACCTGTTCAGCTGATCAGACATGTAAAATTTGGAGGACATCCAACTTCTCCCTGATGACAGAGCTCAGCATCAAGAGTAGTAACCCTGGAGAGTCATCCCGCGGTTGGATGTGGGGCTGTGCCTTCTCAGGGGACTCCCAGTACATAGTCACAGGTGAGCCCTATCTCCATCTCCCCCACATTGCCTAGTCCTCTAGAGAGGCCATTCATGGTTGCTGCTTCTCTTCTGCCTGATCCCTCCTGCAGCCTCCTCTGACAACCTGGCCCGGCTTTGGTGTGTAGAGACTGGAGAGATCAAGAGAGAGTATGGTGGCCATCAGAAAGCTGTCATCTGCTTGGCCTTCAATGACAGCGTGCTGGGTTAGCCTCTATGCCTTGAGGCTGCATTGGGCAGTCAGGACTGCCTGGTGTAGTGGCTCTAAGTGGATGTACCTCAACAATATCCTGGCCTAAGTGACTCTCAGGTCAGCCTCTGCATGTCAGGCCAGCTGGACCTGTCCAGACTACCGTGGACCCTCTATCCTGGGACTTTCTTCATTGTCAGAAATCTTAGTAAGCCAGGCTACATGTGCCTGGGCTGGGAGTCTTTTCTCCCTTTAGAGAGGCTAGACCCAGAGGGATTGAACTATTGAGGAGATCTGAGGTTGATACCCATTTCCCAAGCATGTTACCCCCATTTGCCCCTCTTTACCCCTGTACAGGTCCTGGGCCCCCCCCCCCCAGAAATTACCACCATGGCCAGGTAATCTGGGTTTATTTGTCCCTATTGTCAGCTGCCCTTTGGTGGTGCTGGTGACCTGACCAGCATTGCTGACCTGTGGGAACAGGACTGGCCTGTGGGACCAAAGGCAGGTCAGTAGGGGACTTAGTCTGGAAGGTAATAAAAGCAGACAGACACACAGATGTTGCTCGGGAAGCAGATGTCAATGCAGAGGTAGATCAGCCGCTGTCTCTGGGGACCTGGGAAGAAAGGAACTCATGAATTCCAAGGGCTCCCACCTAGTACTATCCTGCTGGAGCCACTGGCCTCTTTGCTCAACCTATGCCAACTCACCCTCTGCTCGTTGGGCCCAGTAAATGGGAGTGTCCATGCAAAGGTGTTTCACCGAAGCTCCTACTTGGGCAGGGTCCACAGTATGTCCCCCCAAAACTGCCAGCAGCTCCTGGGCATAGTGGGTGTCTTGGCCAGGTACATGGGACCCTTGGACCTGCAGAAAGACTCTGGTGGGCCACCATATAGTACTTTCTTGATCCTGGCTGGGTAGGGCATTCATGTCCCACCCAGCCTGATGGCTCTTCCACCTGCTCTTGTCAACAGCCTTAGTCAGAAGATAGAGCTTTCTGTTCCCCTGAAACCAGAGCCTTGGCTGGCCCAGCTGGGCTGCACAGAGGACCTTTTGTTTGTCCCCTGTCCTTGGGGGTGGGGTGGGGGTGATTGGCAAGCCAAGTAGTACCGCTCACCCTGGAAGTGTTCACCAACAGCCGTAAGGTCTCCCGATCTTGAGCTTCCATCAGACGGAGGAAGCAGGCCTGGTGCTCTGCAGGTCTGTAACAGATGTAGCCCTGGGGAGGCAGATAGGTAAGTCAAGGCCACCCCTGATACTTCCACTCTGCCCCTCTTCCAAGCTCACTCACACTTTGTCCATCGAACAGTATGGCCCAGCTGTGGTTGCTCTGAAGCGGAGTCACCATGATAGTTGCCATATTCTGGGCCACGTCCACTAGAGTGGTTTGGTTGGGCCAGGGTACCCTGGAGCTTGAGGTCTTTCGGAGCGTCTGCAGCAATGTCTAAGGGGTATTTGGAATTTCAGCCTTGACATGTAGTTTCTAATCACCTGAGTAGGCCTTTGTTCCTTTTGGTTCTCTGTCTGCTCAAGGCCAGTGTTAAGGCCTGGCCCCATGGGAGGACTAACAGGTACTGGCTTTCCCACCCTCTTCCCACTCTATCCCTGGACTTGAGGAGTGGCTCACCTTAGGAGGGCTGTACATGAAGCCAAGAAGCCCTCCTGCCACGGCCCCTGCAGTGACCAGTGTCAGCAACAGCAGCAGGCCTGCTGCTCTCCGGCCCCTATGGCAGGGTTTGCTCTTCACCTGGGGGCAAATTACTGTCAGTGGGACTTCTGGGTTAGAGAGCTGGCTTGCTCAGGGAGGGGCTGATAGTAGGTGGTGACACACCCCTGTCTCTTTTATGCCTGTGTTCTTGTGTGAGTGTATGGGAAGGTAGAGACACTTACCTCAACAGGCCTGGACCTGAGGCTTTCAGTGTGGCTGTGCCCTTGCTCCATGCCGCAGCCCCTGCTGACAATGCACTGATTGTCTACAGCCCCTTGGAGGAGTCAGCCAGGGAAACCTCAGGATGCCTTTGATGAGTCAAACTGTATCCTCCCCTCCCAATCCCACCACTTCCTTCCCAGTCAGTATCTGATATCCAGGTCAGGGCCAGGACAGCCCTCTTCCCCACTGTGATTGCTGGTCACCAGTCTCTGGACCACTGACCTGCAGAACATGATTTCTGGGAGCGAGTAAAAGCAGGACCTTGGTAGGAATTCAGAACTGCCTAGGTCTTAGCCAGGATGATTTTGTCTGGTCGGGCAGTTTTTTTTTTTTTTTGGAGTTTTATCTCTAGACTCCTGAGCAAGACACAGGAACCATCAATAAATGTTCAGTGAACCATCAGTGTGAGGCTAATTGTCTTTTTTTTTTTTTTTTTAACTTTCCCTGCAAACTCCCAAGCCTCTTTCCAGACCCCATTAGCACCAGATGAGACTGGACATTCCCATGTGCACCAAGTGGGCTCCAGGCTGGACTGGACAGCTTGATGGATGACTAAGCCAGCCTGTTTCCTAGGATGTTTTTTCTAACTAAGCTGTTAACTGCTCTGGTCTGATCTGTATAGCTATATGACATGGTAACTCAGCTATACTCACATCCACATATTTTGCCCAATAGCCTTATTCTCTGGTTTTATGCTACACACTTCCTGTTTCTTCAGGACCTGTTCCCAAGAAGGGCGGGGCTGCAGTGGTCACGTCCACTGTGCAAGATTTTGGAACTGGAAGCCCAGCCTGCCTTATATACTCTTGCCTCGCCCCCACCCATAGCTAGACAGCTGCTACTCAGAAGTATAGAGGAAGGCAGACCTAATCAGTGTGGTTTGAGAGTTTAATGTGCATTTGAATTTACAATGAAACAAGCTGGAAATGTACCACACACAGGTTCTCGGGCTACTGCCCAGTAGAAGGGGGGCATCCCTTGCTGCTGCACCTGCCAAATACTCCTATGTGGGTGATAATGCCAAAACAGGTCTGTTCACTGTCCAGACTCACAGAGCCACCCTCACAGAGGATCAACCAGCAATATCACAGGCACTGCTGTTTTCATGCTTAATTATGGCACCATTCCACTCCCAACCACCCGTCCTGGGAGCAGTTTCAGGCATGGGATACATTTTATTGCTCTGAGAATTTGAATAGGTGAAGTGCAATGACTACTTGGTACAGGGCAAGGTGCCAGGAAGGAGGGAGTCAGCTAAAAGGAACAGCTTCCTGGGTTGCCCCATGAATACTGCTGCTAAAGGTCACACACTGGCAGAGCAGAGCAAAGGGCCAGAGATGCTGAGAAGCCAACTGGTTGGCAGGGTGGCCCTTCTTCCTAGCCACCAACAAGGAAGTCCAGGATGGAAATAGATGGCTTCATGGAGCACCAACATATGACGCAGCCACAAATGCAAAGGACATAGGCAAGGGAGACAGTTATTCTCAGGACTCCTCTTTCCTTCCATACTCAGAGAGCACTCTGGGAAACAAGGTAATCCTTGGCTTACACATTGGCTATGCTACTGACCAGGGCATGAGATTTCTTCAGTGGGGTTTACCCTTGAGACAGCACAGCTATTAATCAATACCCTTTAAGATCCAATTCCACAATTGACAATGTTGTTCAGTAGTTTTAAGAAAATTTTTTTAAAAAATAAACACTGATCTAAGGTCCCTGTACAGCAGTAGGAGTTCAGTGCAGGCATTCATGCATGCTCTGCTACTTAGTTTCACTCAGTGAAACACCTGCATTTCAATTCATACAAGAAAGCCAAAGTTTATCTATGCTGTTAGTGTGCATGAGGGGCTGTAGTGCTGGGCATCTGAAACAGAACAGACAATTGTGACATCAAACTGGCCTTCGAGGAAGCAGGGGCGAGTGAAAGTTGTCAAGGGCAGCATACTAAACCCCAACAACAGAAATCCCACCTGGCAGCAGCTTCCTCCACTCCCACCCTTATGTGAGGAACATAGTAGCAGACTTCCCTGCTGTATGATCACACTGGGGGAAAACCCCGGTTTTTGGTCTACACAAGTGTCTCATAACAGCCTTTCCTTTTCTCTAGCCCATCTGAGGGTCTGATCCCTGAATACATTTTACAGTAAAAAGCATGACACACAACCCTTGACCCACTTCAGATTCATCAACGGGGCCTAAGTTTACTTCAATGCTGTGCAGATGCTATGCCCATCCCTGCCACCACATACAAAGCCCAGGGCTCACCATAATGCCTTCCAAGTTTAAAAGTGCATGGTAAAATATAATCATTTGTAAACGGCACTCCCCCAACGTTTACTTACAAGGTTAACTACTACTGCCTTTGCTTAACTCCAATTAACCTGCAGCCACCTAACTGAGCCATTTCTAAGCCCCACCTATTAATTTAGGTAACTGATTTTCATTTTTTTTTTTTTTATTCCAGAGATTAAAGACACTAGATCTTTAACCTTGAAGGGCAGGCAAAAGGTCGGCTATGCTGTCAACATAAAAGTCAGGGACCATTTTCTTCTTGTACATGCAGTCACTTTCCTGATTAATCTTCACATCCTCAAGAGTGGAGACTCCGGTGAGGGTCAGGATAGTCTTCAGGCTACAGGTGGCGCCCAGGAGGATGTCTGTGTCCAGGCGATCTCCTACCATAACGGTGCGCTCCGGGTTGATACCATACTCCTGGGACACGCAGTCGAAGATGAAGCGGCTAGGCTTCCCGATGATATCCGCCTGGCGCTGGGCGGCCATCTCCACGGCTCGCACCAGACAGCCGGTACCTGCGGGGCGAGGGAGGGAAGGGGACGCTGGGGGTCAGAGGACACGGAAGGGCTGGGCCCGCCCTCCAACCTCCAGCCCCTAGGCGCACGGACCCGCAATGAAACGGCCGTTCTCTAGCGGGAGGCGGTTGTCCATGTTGGTGCCCACGAGCAGACAGTCGGGCTGCTGCAGGTACCGCACGGCCTTGGTGAGTTTCATGTAGCTGAAGTGTGGGTCGAAGCCCACCACTACCGCGCGCACGTCGGGTTCCAGCGGCACCGCCAGCCAGTCGCTCGGGCCTTCGCCGTGCAAAACCTCCGGGCCCACACCCACGCTGGCAACACCCACGGCCTCCAGCTCGGCGGCTAAGGCCGGACTACCCAGCACGTAGGCCTTGGGGTCCGGCACGCCGGCCAAGCGCTGGCGCAGATAGAGCGCGCTGCAGTAGGCCGTGCCGAAGACCTCGAGGCCGGCGTCGGGCCCCACCGGACCGCCGAAACCCAAGCGCCTTAGCTTCTCCGCGTAGGCCGTGCGAGTCTTGCTGCTGTTGTTGGTGATGAAGCCCAGTCGCTTGCCGCGGGCCCGGAGCGCTCGTAGAGTCTCCGGCGCGCCCGGCACGGCCGTCTCACCGCGCCACAGCACACCATCGCAGTCGAACAGCAGTGTGTCCACATCGGCCAGCAGCACCTTGGCCCGCTCGGCGTTCAGCCGCACGCAGCGGGCTTCGTCGCCGCCGGCCTCCGCCTCCGCCATGGCCGACCGCTGACCGCTGCTGCCACCCGCCGCCGCCGCCGCCGCCACTACCGGCCGATCCTCACAGCCGCCCGCCGCGGCGCCCGCCCCGCCTCTGGGACGCTCATTGGCCCCGCTCCTCGCGCGCACCGCCCATTGGCCCCTGCTTGCGCCAATCCATCTCCGTTTCCCGCGAGCTGCAAGGCGCGGCGCACAGCGGCAAATGCCGCAAGTCCGGCGCGCGGAGGCGGGCAGCCATTGGCCTTCTGGTCGGGATACACCAATGATTGGCTGGCAGAGCGCCAACCGGCAAGGGTAAAGCGTATGCTGCGGAAACGCTGCGGGCCGTGAAAGGCACTGGACGTAAGGCGGCTGGTCAGGGATGGCCGCGGGGTAACTTGCTCTTTGGAAACTGGTGGTCAGCGTAGGTGACGGAGACTCCAGGTCAGTGTCCCCGGGCCAGACCGGCTGCTAATTGGCTACTTCTGGAGGCCTAAGTCGGCGCTTGAACCGTGTACCTTCCAGTCTTTGAAGCCAGCCTGGAACTTCCTTTCCCGGGTACTTGAATTCTCACCTTCAGTTCTTCCAAACGGTTTCCCAGGACCTCCAAGTGACATGAACCAATAATGGCAAAGCAGTGGGGTTGGGATCTAGGGGGACATTGCCTACAGTATGATATTCAGCAATAGGTAGCGCTTATTGTCCTTATCAACTATTAACGCTTTTATTGAGGCATAGTATACAATGATGGCCTTAAGTGTTAAGTATGCAATTTTTACATATTAATATCATCATATATCAAATATCAGATATACCATAATTCCAACATGTCACAAAAAGGCCACTTATATTAATATCTGGCCAATAACGGATATCCCTCCCCAACCACGTTTCTGGCCTTGATTATACATTCACTCTAATTTGCTTGTTCTAATGTTTTTAAAATTTTCACCTTTGGACTAGAGGAATGTCGATTGAAGATCTTACTGTTAAACCCCGAGACAGGAAGAGAAAGACTAACCAAATCGTCATGGCCCAATTAAAGCAAATAATTAGACTTTTGTTTTTGATTAGTGTACTTGGGCTGCCTCCTCCTCCTAAGCTGAGGTTCAGAGGTCATCATTGGCTGTGAAGAAAACGAAGGATTTTGTTGTTGGGTTTTTTTTTTTTTTTTTTTTTTCGAGACGGTTTCGCTGTGGCTTTGGAGGCTGTCCTGGAACTAGCTCTTATAGACCAAGCTAGTCTACAAGATCAGCCTGCCTCTGCCTCTGCCTCCTGAGTGCTGGAATCAAAGGTGTGCGCCACCACAGCCCTTCGAGGAAAATGAAGTTTTTAGAAAGTTTAGGGGCACGGGGTTCCTAAATGGGATTTGGCAAGCAAAACAGGGAAGGACATAAGCTCCTAACGACCTCCTGAAACAAAGACATGTTTGCAAGATGGGCATAACAAGGTGGTCATGAGTGGTCACATAACCCTTTGAAACAAAGGTAGGTTTGCAAGATGGTTATAAGCAACTTTTTGAAACAAAGACATGATTGCCATTCCTGGAACAGGCAGTACAGAACCATTTGTAGTTAAGGTCACAGGCAGGGCATAGCTCAATCCTTGAGAAACAGGTTTAATCACAAACAGGAATGCACCTAGTTTTTCCTTAAGATGGCTTTTAATCCTAAGGTGGAGGCAGGCTGGTTTTTTACTCCTGCAGATCACCCTGATGAGTTCAGTTCCCAAGCACTGAAGTTGGACAGTTCACAAGTGCCTATAACTCGAGCTCCAAGGAATTGGTCGCTTTCTTGTGACCTCTGTGGACACCTACATACATATGCACATACCCACATTACTTAGAAATAATATTTTTAAAGATTTATTTTTTATTTTATACATGTGAGTGTTCTCCCTGCATTTGTGGTGACCTTGAAGACCAGAAGGAATGAGTTCCTTTGGAACTGGAGTTACAGCCTGTTGTGAGCTCTCATTTGGGTGCTAAGAACCCCAGGACTCAGAGGCAGAGGTACGTGGATCTCCGTGAGTTTGAGGTCATTCTAGTCTACAAAGCAACTTTCAGAACAGCCAGGGCTGTACACAGAGAAACTGTCTCCACAAACATAATAAGGTATTATGTGTAAAATCTTTTGGAAATCTTTTTTTTAAATTTGGTTCCTGTGTGCCCATGCCATGGCATGTGGAGGTCTGAGAACACCTTGCAGGAATCTCCTCCTACCCAGTGGGTCCTAGGGATCCAACTCAGGTTGACAGGCTTGGCTACAAGTGCCATTTCACAGGCCCCATTTGTTTGTTCGTTTTGAGACAGGGTTTTATAAATTGAGGCCACCCTCAATTCAATATGTAACTGAGGGTGACCTTGAATTTCTGTTTTGTGTCTCCCAAGTACTGAGATCACAGATAATGTACCACCATGACCAATTTGTATATGCTAGGCAAACAAACCTCTCTCAATGAGCTATATCCCTTTTGTTTGATTGTTTTTTGTTTTTTCAAGACAAACTTTCTACTCTGTAGTCTGGGCTGGCCTGGAACTTTTGGCACTCCCCCTGCCTCAGCCTTCTAAGTGCTGGGATTATAGGCTTGAGCTGTCATACCCACTCTAGGACCATCTTATAAATGAGAGGTACCCTGCTTATCATGCTTCCTTAACTCAGCATAATGCCTGTGAAATCTATCCTCAGTTTATTTTTAATTTTTGTAGGATTATCTATTGCTGATGAATACTGGGCCATTTCTTGTAATGTCCATGTGAAGATTCTTGTTCTTATGTATGAATATATGGACATATGCTCACACATCTGGGGTGTATCACTTGGAGTGGAATTGTTAGGACATAGGGGAGGTGTGTGTTTATCAGTATCACTTTGACTAGAGTTAGGTGTCAGAATAACAGTAGTTCTTAGTTTCCTGAGGGCTTACCCTGTGCCATGTAGACACCAGATTCCCAATGTTTTATTCTTTTGTTTTGCTCTTGAACCCCAGTTCTCCATAAAGTATTTCTCTGAATCACATCTACCTTCAAACTCATCAGACAAACCCAATGACCTCAATACTCCCATCTCTGTTGGCCTGGAAAACCTGAAGGACAAGGACCATAGCCTTGGAGGGCAGGGACTACATACTGACTAGGAGAACTCCCTTCATTTCCTTGATTTCATTTTGAGGACCTGAGCTGACCCTGAGAAGAGCTGCACTTGACAAAAGATTACAAATGCTGATTTTATCACATAGAAACCAGGAGTTGATTTGGTATACAGGCCACAATGGAGAATGCCAATTGTGTTCAGATGTGACCAGACTTCTGAAACCCTGACCTGATTGCCTTGGTTTACAGTTAGTACTGAGTACCACTCCTGTTGTAAGAATCACAGGACCGTCCTGAGAAGGAGATATGGTTAGTACACCTGTGTTACAGAGAGGACACTAAGCAACAAAGAGCCATCACTAGCCGATGCAGAACAGGGATGAAACTTATTGTCCCCAAAACTGAACCCCGCCGTATCTGCTGAGTGCATTGGAGTGTCTGTCGGTGAAAGAACAGCCTGCAGAGTGGAAGAAGTGCAAAGAAAACTGTGTGAGGTCCTGGAGGAATCTCAAGGGGACAGTGACCTTCATGGTAGAGTGGGCCTGTGGATGGACAGGAGCCCATTTTGCTATGCTCCTCATGCACAGTTGGTACTCAGTATATAACTTCTAGTAGATGGCACCAGTGTCATATCTTTTCAAATGAGGAACATCCCATAAGTGGCTCAATCAGTGGTACAGGATAGACTAGCATAGTTGGTTTTCATTGTTGTTGCTGAGTTTTGTTTTTTGTTTTTTATGTTTTGTTTTGAGACGGTTTCTCTGTGTAGCCCTGGCTGTCCTGGAATTCACTCTATAGTTCAAGTTGGCCTTGAACTTAGAGATCCACCTGCCTCTGCCTTTGAAGTGCTGGGATTAAAGGTGTGTGCCACCAACACTTGGCTCTTGTTTTGTTTTTTATGTTTTTGAGACAGGATTTCTCCGTGTAGTCCTGGCTGTCCCAGAACAAGCTCTATAGACCAAGCTGGGCTTGAACTCCTAGAGATCCATGTGCCTCTTCCTTCTGAGTGTTGTTGGTATTAAAGGCATTCAGTACTACCATGAACTTGTTTTGTTTTAGACATAATCTCACATATCCAAAGCTGTCTTAGAGCTGGCTACATAGCTGGGGATAATCTTCAGTTTCTGATCGATCCTCTTGCCTTCCTGCCTCCATTTTCCTACTGGTAAAATTGCAGGCATATGGCAACATGCCTGTTTTACCCAATGTTGGATATTGAATCCAGGGCTTCTGCATTTTAGGAAAGCATTCTATTAACTGAGATACACCACCAGCCATTTCTGCTGCCATTATGGAGTGTTCCATCAAATTAGGGCAAACGAGAGAAGTACACACTCTCTGATAAAACATAACAATGGTGAGTGATTTGCCTGCAGAAGGCAGTTCCACCATTAGTCTATCATGAGTAGGGAAGACGTTAGCGGTTTCTTTCTTTTTTTGCTTATGAATACAGTGTTTCTGCCTGCACGGCAGAAGAGAGCACCAGATCCCATTATAGATGGTTGTGAGCCCCCATGTGGTTGCTGGGACTTGAACGTAGGACTTCTGGAAGAGCAGCCAGTGCTCTTAACCTCTGAGACATCTCTCTAGTCCCACCTTAGCTGTTTCTTATACATCCCAGTTCCGCACCAAGCCAAAGGTCCCAGGTCTCAGTCTCCCAAATTGACATCACAGCATGAAAACCACCTATACTCAGTGCCCTTCCAAGGACAAAGCTGCCTGCTTCCTGCCAAGGAACCTACTGCTCTTCTTGGTACTGTGTCTGTGTCATTGTTCCTGGAGCCTGGGTCTGATCTACCCAAGATCTCATGGCCTGCATCCTGCTGGTTACTGGGGATCATTAAGCTAACAGAGTCCTCTGAGTTCTCAGCCTGTATTAGTTCTGAGAGCAGCCCCGGGACAGGTATCCTGACAGTATAAAACTTTAGGTTTTCATCTTCAAAATAATGATGGTGGGGCTGTAGAGATGGCTTAGTGGGTAAGAAGAATTCCAGCCGGGCAGTGGTGGTGCAGGCCTTTAA